CCCCAGCCCGGGGGTCTCTGGCTGCCCCCAGGCCCTCCCCAGCCTGGGGGTCTCTGGCTGCCCCCAGCCTGGGGGTCTCTGGCTGACCCCAGCCCCTCCCCAGCCCGGGGGTCTCTGGCTGCCCCCAGCCCCAGGGGTCTCTGGCTGCCCCCAGCCCGGGGGTCTCTGGCTACCCCCAGCCCCAGGGGTCTCTGGCTGCCCCCAGCCCCTCCCCAGCCCGGGGGTCTCTGGCTGCCCCCAGCCCCTCCCCAGCCCGGGGGTCTCTGGCTGCCCCCAGCCCCAGGGGGCTCTGGCTGCCCCCAGCCCCTCCCCAGCCCCTCCCCAGCCCGGGGGTCTCTGGCTGCCCCCAGCCCGGGGGTCTCTGGCTGCCCCCTGACCCCCCTGTCCCCGCAGACCAACATCCCGTTCCTGCAGAACGTGCTGGCCCACCCGCAGTTCCTGGCGGGCGCGGCCGACACGCAGTTCATCGACGAGAACCCCGAGCTCTTCCACCTGCGGCCGGGCCAGAACCGCGCCCAGAAACTGCTGCACTACCTGGGTCAGCCGGGGGGCACCTGGGGGGCGTAAAAATACACCTGGGGGGGATAAAAATACACCTGGAGGCACTGGGGAAACACAGGGGCACCTGTGCTGCACTACCTGGGTCAGCCGGGGGGCACCTGGGGGCACCTGGGGGCCGTAAAAAGACACCTGGGGGGCGTAAAAATACACCTGGGGGGGATAAATGTACACCTGGGGGCATAAATATACACCTGGGGGCACCTGGGGGGCGCCCCAGCCCGGGGGTCTCTGGCTGCCCCCAGCCCCTCCCCAGCCTGGGGGTCTCTGGCTGCCCCCAGCCCCTCCCCAGCCCGGGGGTCTCTGGCTGCCCCCAGCCCGGGGGTCTCTGGCTGCCCCCTGACCCCCCTGTCCCCGCAGACCAACATCCCGTTCCTGCAGAACGTGCTGGCCCACCCGCAGTTCCTGGCGGGCGCGGCCGACACGCAGTTCATCGACGAGAACCCCGAGCTCTTCCACCTGCGGCCGGGCCAGAACCGCGCCCAGAAAGTGCTGCACTACCTGGGTCAGCCGGGGGGCACCTGGGGGCACCTGGGGGCCGTAAAAATACACCTGGGGGGCGTAAAAATACACCTGGGGGGGATAAATGTACACCTGGGGGCATAAATATACACCTGGGGGCACCTGGGGGGCGTAAAAATACACCTGGGGGCACTGGGGAAACACGGGGGCACCGGGGGGCACCTGTGCTGCACTACCTGGGTCAGCCCTGGGCACCTGGGGGCACTTGGCGGGGCATAAAAATACACCTGGGGGCATAAATATACACCTGGGGGGGATAAATCTACA